TGTCCCCATCCCCCTGGGCTGCAGGGTATCCCCATCTCTCCAGGCTGCGGGGTGTCCCCATCCCCGTGGGCAGGGGGTGTCCCCATCGCCCCAGGCTGTGGGGTGTCCCCATCCCCCTGCTCCTTGCGGTAGCATTCGTTCACTGCTTCGCGGAAAATGTGATGACTCGGCAGCCCCTGAGTTTCCAGGCCTGGTTCCAGCTGCTGGGTGGAGAAACTTGTGCAGTTGTCTTTAGGTTTGGCACAGCCGAAGGCTTCATGGTCAGGGGGGACTGGAGGGGAGATCCAGCAGCCCCAGCTGAAGGAGGGCTCTCCCTCTCTGTGTCCCCACCTGAGGTGGCTCGGTATCACTGAGGTGGCCGTGGGGAAGGCAGGGCTGGCACAGGATGAGCAGCTTCTGTCCCGTGGGGAGGCTGCTGGGCCCTGCAGCTCCAGGGACAGGGCCTCAGCTTGGCTCCCAGCAGTGCTTTGGGCTGCTTCCACTGCAGCCACAGCCCAAACTCCCTGAGCTGAGGGAGCACAGCCACTGGGACCTGAGGTTAAATAAGCAGGGCTGGTATTCACACATGTCCCCATGGCAGGGGGTGACAGCTTGCTGTGCCACCAGGACATGCAGAGGCTCTGAAAGCTGCTGGGATGTCTCCTGGTCCATGCTCAGAGGCCAATCCCATCCTGGTGGGCAGCAAGGCATTCCCCAAGCCCGTCCTTGTGCCGAGTGAGGTTACCCCTCCTCCTGGTTGGGGATGTGTGGGGCAGTGGCACAGTATGGCAGCAAGATCTGAGGGAACACTGTGTTCCAGAAATCCCTGCCTGGCTGCCCAGCTCAGAGACCCGAACAGGTAGAACAGACCCTTTGCTCCTTGGGCAAGTCATTGTCCAGAGCAGCTGCCTCAGTGGGGGAGTGGTGGCCCATGCATGGCTGCAGCAGCAGAGGTTGTGGCTGGGGCTGGAGACAGCTGGTGCAGGGCACTGAGACTGTGCCCAGGCAGGTGCAGTAACCATGCATGGACTCGGATTCTCTCCAGCTTGGCCGGGCAGGCACAACCCAGCTGGAGTGTCCCAGTGGCTGGGTTTGTCCTCTTGCTGGCCTGGAACTGCTCTTTGGTATGCTTTGAAGCTGCAGGAGCCCCACCTTGACTCTAGGGAAACCTCCTGTCTGTGCCACCACTGCAGGGGACACTGCCCTTGACACTGGGGCATGCAGCATCTTATTCCAGAATTTTCCTTCAAAATCTAGGGTGCCTCCTGTCCCATGTTCCTGGATCACAATTCTCAGCCCATCAAGGCCTTCCATCCTCACCTCCATCCCCTGCTTCATCAGCCAGGGGCTTCCTAAATTCAGCTCTTCCATCACCTGCCATACTCCAGGGACACCAGCACTGCTTGCCCTGCCTCTGTCCCAGCCACCTTCCAGGTGACCCCTACAGGCTGCTCATGGCAGCAAACAATCCCACACTCCCCATCCACAGCGTGGTCACCTGTGCTGGCAGCCTGCACCCCACAATGGACTGTGAGGGGACACCCAGTGAGAGCCCCTTTGCAAACGTGTTTGGGGAGCAGCCAGCTGTAACCTCCCTGCTCCTGCCTGGGCCCCCGGGTAAACCTGGCAAACCCTCCCTGCAGTGAGGAGCTCTAGCCTCCTCCCAGCCGGCTGCAGCTGCCCAGCTCTGGAAAGGGGCCTTTAAAAACAGTCCCCAGCCCACTGGAGACGGCAGCAATCAGGGCCAAACCTCCCCCTGTCTCATTTCTGGGGAGGTGCTCTATCCTAGGGGCTGGAGGAGCTCACCCCAATCCCTGTGAGCACTCACCTTGCACTCAGGTTAATGGGGGGTGGCCAGCTGCCCATCAAGCTGGTGCCCAGCAGCAGGGATGGGTATCCCCAGAGCTGGCTGTGGCACTGGTTGATGGGTCAGCCTCGTCACCCCACGTGCTGGTGGATCTCAGTCCCAAGGCTTATCAGGAGATCTCTAAGAGCCACAGCTGTTACCCTGAACATCCATCACTTGAGCAGATGCACCCATGGCATTTTTGGCATTCAGCGCTTGGAGCTGTGGGCACTAAAGGTTAAAAATCTTGCCTGTGCTGGAGCCAAGGCATTGCCTTCTGCTCCCACCCTGATCTCTGTGTTCAGGGTGCAGGGGAGGGGGATGTCTGGAGACAATGACACGAAGAGGCTCTGGTGGTAGAGCTGTACCTTTCTGCTGGGGGAACATCCGAGTCCTAGACAGAAGTGACAAACTGGCCCCCACTGCTGGGCTGAGCTGCAGGGCCAGGGCTCCTTTGTCCTCAGCCCAGTCCAGGCAGGGACCTCTGCAGAGACGTGACTGTGACCACGGACCCGGACTGCTGGCACCAGTCCCATTTGGCTGGGACCTGGGAAATTAACTGTTGCCCATGCCAAGGGAGGGGGATTCATGTTCCCTGTGCCCTTTCCCAGCTGGCTCCATCAGCCTGGGGGTTGTCAGAAGGTTTGGGGTATGGACTTAGGTTTGGAGATGCATCCAGGACCAGGTCCCCTGCATCCCCCTCTCCTCTTAACTGCATGCAAGAGCTGGAGCATTCTCGTCTCCTTGTCCAGATACTGGGGGTTGTTCTGTCTGTCACAGGTCCCACCTGACAAACTTCTGTGTCTCTTGTTGAAGGATTCTGGTGTTCTAGAAGATAGGTGGGGGATGTGTTCTACTCTGACAGGTCGGTGCCTTACAGTAATGAGCAGAGCTTGAATAGCCCCCATAGGTGGTCGTGCTGACCACTGGGATAGACTCCCACGGCCACAAAGGCTGTGCTGGCTTCCGGACTGATGCATCACTGAACCTCTTCCAGCACTGTCCCAGATCCCCAGCGCTGATGTGAAGCCAATGGCATCTCTGCTGTGAATGAGAGCTGGCACCGTGCCACGCATTGCACAGACACCGCAGAGCACCGCCCTGCACGCAGCCCGGGGCACAGCCTGGTCCCCGGGGCAACCCCCGAAGCACAGCGCCTTCCCACCCGGGTACTGCTCGCTTCAGCTCGCCCCTCCGATGGGCAAAGCGTGGTTTGGGCACCTCTGTGCCCGTGAGATGCCACGGCAGGAGCTTCTCAGAGTGCGCACTGTCCCCGCCATGGGCACTGCACAAACACCCCCATCCCCACGCCACGTTTTGGCGTGCCCAAACCCCCTCCCCAGCCGCACCTGCGCAGCAATTAGAGCACACCGAGCTGAAGGGTGCCCAAGGTGCGGCACAGAGAGAGGAGAGGGTGCACAGAGAGA